TCAGGAGTTTGAGACCAGCTTGGCCAACATGGTGAAACCCCGTCTCTACTAAAAATACAAAAATTAGCTGGGCGTGGTGGTGAGCGCCTGTTATCCCAGCTGGTCACAAGGCTGAGGCAGGAGAATCGCATGAACCAGGGAGGCAGAGGTTGCAGTTAGCCAAGATTGCACCACTGCACTCCAGCCTGGGCGACAGTGAGACTTCATCTCCAAAAAAAAAGAGATTTGAATGCTAAAGAAGCAGCAGTCAATCCTCATTACTCATCTACCAGTTATTTATTTGGAACTTTTTGTCTGCCCAAGATTGTGCTAGATACTGCTGTATAAAAAGAAAAGGTAAAATTCCTACTCTCAAATAATTCACAACCTAGTGAGTGGGAGGAAATCAAGGAAGGCCTTGAAGAAAAGATGACACGTGAACTTTGAAAAATGAATGAACTGGGCTTCATAGGTAGAAAAAAAAATGCAGGCGCAAAAGAGTGCATGACTGGCCAGGCGCAGTGGCTCATTCCTGAATCCCAGCACTTTGGAGGCTGAGGTGGGCAGTCATGAGGTCAGGAGTTTGAGACCAGCCTGGCCAACATGGTGAAACCCCATCTGTCCATCTCTACTGAAAATACAAAAATTAGCCAGGCATGGTGGCGCATATCTGCAGTCCCAACTACTCAGGAGGCTGAGACAGGAGAATCACTTGAACCTGAGAGGCGGAGGTTGCAGTGAGCCAAGATAGTGCCTCTGCACTCTAGCCTGGGCAACAAGAGCAAAACTCTGTCTCAAAGAAAAAAGAATGCATGACATTTTTGGAACAGCAAGTCATCCAGTGTGGTTAGACTGTAGGAAACTAAATCTGAAAAGACATTGTCAGTTACATCTTGGGTTTGCCTCGACTTTTACTGGAAAGTTCTACAGACTTAAGAGAAATATTAAAATGAACAGGCCGGGCACAGTGGCTCAAGCCTGTAATCCCAGCACTTTGGGAGGCCGAGGCGGGTGGATCACAAGGTCAAGAGATCGAGACCATCCTGGTCAACACGGTGAAACCCCGTCTCTACTAAAACTACAAAAAATTAGCTGGGCATGGTGGTGCGTGCCTGTAATCCCAGCTACTCAGGAGGCTGAGGCAGGAGAATTGCCTGAACCCGGGAGGCGGAGGTTGCAGTGAGCCGAGATCGCGCCATTGCACTCCAGCCTGGGTAACAAGAGTGAAACTCCGTCTCAAAAAAAAAAATAAATAAAATAAAATAAAATGAACAATTTCCAGGAAAAATGCACTAAACTATTATACATGAAATGTAGCCATAATAAATTACACTTCGGGATATAATGCTTGTTTATATTTGCATATCATTGATGATTTACGCCAATTTTATTTTTTTTTGGGGACAGAGTCTCACTCTGTCACCCAGGCTGGAGTGCAGTGGCACAATCTTGGCTCATTGCAACCTCCGCCTCCCGGGTTCAAGCAATTCTCCTGCCTTAGTCTCCCAAGTAGCTGCGATTATAGGCGCCTACCACCACATCTGGCTAATTTTTGTATTTTTAGTAGAGACAGGGTTTCACCATGTTGGCCAGGCTGGTCTTGAACTCCCGACCTCAAGCAATCTGCCTGCCATGGCCTCCCAAAGTACTGGGATTATAGGTGTGAGCCACTGCACCCGGGACTTAGACCAATTTTAAAAAATTAGGGAGTAATATTTTGTCACTATATTCTATTTTGAATATACTGTAAGAATCCTCTCCTTTGAAATACACATGTCAAATCATCTGGTAATGATTTCATTATATTAGGAAAACAAAACATGCTTTAATAAGTTAAATGGAAAGTTTTGTGGATGTTTAGTTGTTTTTTGTTTTTTGGTTTTTTTTTTTGAGACAGAGTTTCATTCTTGTTGCCCAGGCTGGAGTGCGATGGTGCGATCTTGGCTCACTACAACCTCCGCCTCCAGGGTTCAAGTGATTCTCCTGCCTCAGCCTCCAGAGTAGCTGGGATTATAGGTATGCGCCACCACGCCTGGCTAATTTTGTATTTTTAGTAGAGGCGAGGTTTCCCCATGTTGGTCAGGCTGGTCTCAAACTCCAGACCTCAGGCGATCCACCCACCAAAAAGATGTTCATCAGCTGGGCTTGGGGGCTCAACACCTGTAATCCCAGCATTTTGGGAGACTGAGGTCAGAGGATCCCTTGAGCCCAGAAGTTTAAGACCAGCTTGGACAACAGAGGGAGATCCCATCTCTACAAAAAAATAAATTAGCCAGGCATGATGGTGTGTGCCTGTAGTTCCAGCTACTCAGGAGCCTGAGGTGGAAAATGGCTTGAGCTCGAGAGGTTGAGGCTATAGTGAGCTGTGATTGTGTGACTATGCTCCAGCCTGGGTTACAGAGTGAGTCCTTACCTCAGGGAAAAAAAAAAAAGGGGATGTTCATGCTCTTAAGTAATTAGGTAAATATACATAAGACCAATGAAATAATGTCAGGAGTTTTTGGGTCCTGGAGTATACTTATAAAAATGAAAAAAAACAAAACAAAACAAAAAAAAAAAACTATAGTGATTCACTTCATAAAGCAAAACCACATTTGATCTACTTCTTTATATATCTGTATTTCCATTTATCAAATTTGTTTAAAGTAAGATAGACCAATAATGAAGACTTCTAATTAATTTGTCGAGTCACATAATGAAGGCTTTCAGGCATTTTTATGGAGTGTTATTACTATATGAGTTTAAACTTTTATATCTAAATTGATTTCTTTGTATAATTATCTTTCACACACCTGTAGCTAAGAAAGAGTATAGCCTGTTTTTTGAGTCAGGGTCTCGCTCTTGTCAGCCAGGCCAGAGTGCAGTGGCAAGATCATGGCTCACTGCAGCCTCAAATTCCTAGGCTCAAGCAATCCTCCCACTTCAGCCTCCTGAATAGCTGGGACTAGAGGCATCCACCACCATGCCCAGCTAAGATTTTCTATTCTTTGTAGAGATGGAGTCTCACTATGTTGGCCAGGCTGGTCTCGAACTCCTGGGCTCAAGTAGTCCTCCCACCTCAGGCTCTCAAAGTGCTGAGATTATAGACAGGTATGAGCCATTGCACCCAGCTGCCTATTTTTAATTGTACTGGGGACCAGGTGTGATGGCTTATGCCCATAATCCCACGTCTTTGGGAGTCCAAGATGGGAAGGTCACTTTAGGCTAGGACTTTGAGACCAGCCTAGAAAACATAGCGACACCCTGTCTCTACAAAAACTAAAACTTAAAAAAATTGCACTGAAGGCCGGGCGCGGTGGCTCACGCCTGTAATCCCAGTACTTTGGGAGGCCGAGGCGGGTGGATCACGAGGTCAAGAGATCGAGACCATCCTGGTCAACATGGTGAAACCCCGTCTCTACTAAAAATACAAAAAATCAGCTGGGCATGGTGGCGCGTGCCTGTAATCCCAGTTACTCAGGAGGCTGAGGCAGGAGAATTGCCTGAACCCAGGAGGCGGAGGTTGCGGTGAGCCGAGATCGGGCCATTGCACTCCAGCCTGGGTAACAAGAGTGAAACTCCGTTTCAAAAAAAAAAAAAAAAAATTGCACTGTTATGTTAATTTCATATAGTATGTGGGTTTATTGTTTCACGTAGAGATTAAAATGGCTTCCAGAGGAAAGACAGAGACAAGCAAATTAAAGCAGAATTTAGAAGAACAGTTGGATAGACTAATGCAGCAATTACAAGATCTGGAGGAATGCAGGTAAGAGTTTAATTGTATATTGTTAAGCTGTAAAATTGCTTTCTTGCTTCTTTCTTTCTTTTTTTTTTTTTTTTTTTTTAGATGGCTCTGTCACCAGACTGGAGTGCAATGGCACTATCTGGGATCACTGCAACCTCCACCTCCAAGGTTCAAGTGATTCTCCTGCCTCAGCCTCCCGAGTAGCTGGAACTACAGGCGTATGTCACCATGCCCAGCTAATTTTTGTATTTTTATTTATTTTATTTATTTTTTGGGAAGTTGAATCTTGCTCTGTTACTCAGGCTGGAGTACAGTGGTGGGATCTTAGCTTACTGCAACCTCCACCTCCCAGGTTCAAGCATTCTCCTTCCTCAACCTCCTGAGTAGCTGGGACTACAGGCGCACGCCACCATGCCCGGCTAATTTTTTGTATTTTCGTAGAGACAGGTTTCACCGTGTTGCCCAGTCTGGCTTTGAACTCCTGAGCTCAGGCAATCCGTCCACCTTGACCTCCCAAAGTGCTGGGATTACAGGCGTGAGACACTGTGCCCAGCCAAGTTTGTATTTTTAGTAGAGACGAGGTTTCACCGTGATGGTCTAGATCTCTTGACCTCATTATCCACCTGCCTCGGCCTCCCAAAGTGCTGGGATTACAGGCCTGTGCCATCACGCCCAGCCAAAATGGCTTTTTTTCTGCAGCTAGCTCCATTGATGCAGCCCCACGTGTGATTCTGCATTCCCCTGTAGTGTTCTTCACAGTGCCTTGTCTAGTAGAGAAGTAAACTCATTGCAGGCTTTGGAGTCATAAAGGCTGGGTTATGAAACTCATTTAGTTAATTACCAAGTACATATGAACTTGAGCAAAATACTTAACCTTGAGGTTGAGGTAGAAATAACACCTACCTTATCTTTAGTATTTAAAACAGCCCTGCCTGCTGTCAGGCTGAGAAGGTACTACTTGAACTTCTGGAGTGTAGTTTCAGCCTTACTTGCACAAAGGACTACTTTTTTTTTTTTTTTTTTTTTTTGAGACAGAATCTCACTGTGTTGCCCAGACTGGAGTGCTGTGGCAAATCTCAGCTCGCTGCAGCCTCCACCTCCCAGGTTCAAGCAATTCTCCTGCTTCAGCCTCCCGAGTAGCTGGGATTACAGGCATGCATACCATTACATACCACCCCCTCCCCCCGCTAAACTTTTTTTTTTTTTTTTGTAGAGACAGGTTTCACCATGTTGGCCAGGTGGCCTCGAACTCCTGACCTCAGGTGATCTGCCCACTTCAGCCTCCCAAAGTGCTGGGATTATAGGTGTGATCTAAGGCACCTGGCCTTATTACGTGGTCTCGTTTAGTATGCCTCGTTTTGGTAAAAGAAAAATGTTTAATTATCAAAGTAACCATATTGTAGGAAAATGCCCGTACTGCTATTATGTGAACACATTCATTGTTAGCATTTTGATATTTCCCTTCAGCCTTTCTCTAATGTACAAGTACAAAGATTGCATTTTTCACTTGGAACTCTATATTTTTCCATATCATGATGTTCACCTACTTCAGAGAGGAACTTGATACAGATGAATATGAAGAAACCAAAAAGGAAACTCTGGAGCAACTAAGTGAATTTAATGATTCACTGAAGAAAATTATGTCTGGAAATATGACTTTGGTAGATGAACTAAGTGGAATGCAGTTGGTGAGTATAACATATAGGTGACAGAGGCCTGACTTTGTTTATTGTCGCTCGGCTTCTCGTGGCCTTTTTTTTTTTGAGACAGAATCTTACTCTGTCGCCCAGGCTGGAGTGCAGTGGCACAGTCTTGGGTCACTGCAACCTCCACCTCCTGGATTCAAGCAATTCTCCTTACTTAGCCTTCCAAGTAGCTGGGATTATAGGCGCCTGCTTCCACACCCAGCTAATTTTTAATTTATATTTTTAGTAGAGGTGGGGTTTCACAATGTTGGCCAGACTTGTTTTGAACTCCTGACCTCAAGTTATCTCCCCACCTTGGCCTTCCAAAGTGCTGTGATTATAGGCATGAGCCACTGTGCCCGGCCGTTTTTTTTTTTTTTTTTTTTTTTTCAGGTGGTGTTTCTATCATCCATCCGGGAGTGCAGTGACACGATCATGGCTCATTACAGCCTGTCCTTCAGGG